CGAGACGTATGATCCTGGCGAGGTATGAACCTCGTGACTTTTATCACCCTCGAGAGTTATAATCTTCGCGAACCTTCACGGTTTACAATAAAAGTTAACGTCGGCTGTTTTTTTACATTTTTTACATTTATTACGCAAATTACGGGTTTTTTACAATGTCATGTAAGAAACTGCGCTTATTGACAGATGCCCAATCCTGCTCTCGATCAGCGCGCTCGGCCGCTAGTTTTCGTCAGTCGCACGGGTAGCGCAGCACCATTGTGTTAAACCGAGCGCACTGTTGCCATCTTGGCGCTCGCCGCTATGTGCGCCTTTCAAATGTGGCAGTGAATGTAGCAACACTGTTGCTCGGGGTGTCGACAGGGACTCACTCGCACCGGGCAGCGCGGCGCCGTTATTCTGCCCGTTCGACGTTTCTTTTATTTTTTAGCTAAACAAATTTTCCGAAAAAAAACGAACAACGTTAGCGCTTGATAAAAGGATGGAACTAGGAACTATCATTTTTTCAAAATTTTTAAGCCTTGAGAAACATTCTAAAATATAAAAAAACGAAAACGGGCGACTCCGCGCTCATTGAGCGAGTGATCGAAAGTTAAAAAACGTCTGATTTTCAATCAATTATTATGATATATATAGGCAATATTTCTCCGTAATTCTTTTCCTTTAATCACTTTTCGCTTCTGAAAAGGTCTTCATGAAAATTCTGCTTCGGATCCAAAGATACACTTTCCCTTTTCGTTACTCGTTTCATTTTTCAGAAAATTCTGCAATCGCATTTTTCGTTCACTAGAAAATGGACATAACAAAAAGGAAAATTAAGTAAATTGGATAGTTCCAGGTTTAACGAATACTATTAATTATCAAACCGGATGTTCAAAGGGATAGTGAAGAAATAAGTTCACAACATCGATGAAATTGTCACAGTCCGACGTTTCGTTAAATATTTTAGTTTCATCAGGTTCTTGAGGCAAATGCAAAGTCCTAAACGCTAATAATACAGCAGGAGTATCCATTCGCAGTAAAAAACTCAAATTGTTAATATCACAATTCGAATATAAAAACCATGAAAATGCGATGACTGCTTGCTCTGACAGTTATCGTCACACCCAAATCCAAACTATTAATTATTTNGAAAATGGACATAACAAAAAGGAAAATTAAGTAAATTGGATAGTTCCAGGTTTAACGAATACTATTAATTATCAAACCGGATGTTCAAAGGGATAGTGAAGAAATAAGTTCACAACATCGATGAAATTGTCACAGTCCGACGTTTCGTTAAATATTTTAGTTTCATCAGGTTCTTGAGGCAAATGCAAAGTCCTAAACGCTAATAATACAGCAGGAGTATCCATTCGCAGTAAAAAACTCAAATTGTTAATATCACAATTCGAATATAAAAACCATGAAAATGCGATGACTGCTTGCTCTGACAGTTATCGTCACACCCAAATCCAAACTATTAATTATTTATTCTTTTTAAAGATTGAAAAGACGTATATGAAATGAAAAAAATTGAAGTGTTTCGGAAAATTGAAAAATGTGTTAATAATAGTTGATAAAATCTCATTTAGATTAATTCTTCAAATTTTGTTCTTGAAAACAGAATCGTCAGAGTCCAGCAACGACACTGAATGCGAGCACAGTAACGAAGCATCTGTCAAACTTATCCCTCGAGTCCAGTAAAAAAACAGCAGCAAGTCCGGAATTTGTACCGGGACGGGGGCTGACTGGAAGTAATAGCAGTTCGCCAAACTTATTTGGTAATTCTTATCATTCCCAGGAGAATGTTGGAGGCACAACGTATTTTTATGTGGGTAATGCCACTGGGGATCAAACTGCCAATGAGGAAGGAAATGAAGTTGTGAGTTGAACAACATCATTACTACATTTTTTAATTAATGTTTCTACCCTGGAAATTACATTAAAGGGTCGAGTAACTCAATTAATTACATGTGGGTCAAATAATCGAGTTGAGGTTCCTATGGGGAAATTATTTTCGTGGAGAAAATTATGGCCAATCATTTCGTTGTGACTGTAGTGGAAATATTTTGGAGTTCAAGAGGTTTAGAGAAAAATATCGAGAGATTTTTTGGGTGAATCCATAAAATTTTCTGTAAGAAAGGTTGCTTGACATCTTGCTTCAAACTCCTCACTACGAAGATATTAAAACCATCGATCATTTTTTTAAATAATTCGAATCTCTGACGTGAAATGTCTGTTCAAAGGTCATAAACCTTCTTTGTAATTGAGAAAGTTTTGTACAAAAAATGTTTGGCATTTCACTGTAAAGAATTTTCAGCTGAAATTTCCGATGCACTTATTGCAAAATTGTATCAAGTAATCGTTCCACTGAAACTTTAAGGAGTTTCTCATCTGAAAACTCGCAATTTGATCAGAGAATCGATGGGAACTGTGAATTTTAGTGCAATTATTCCTTAAAGAGTTATACGGATCGATAAATTGAAGTTTCTTAAATCGTGAATTGATTGAAAATTCAGCGTAATATTGTTCTGAGTATGCAGATTTGATTGAAAATTAAAGTACCATGAAGATCCTCATTTCCTGCTGCTCAAAATTGTAGAATTCCCCTGAATTTTCAATATAATTTGAAATTCCATGGTCCCCCTAAAATGGACCTCAAAGTCACTCTCCTGAAAAATACCCAAAGGGAGAAAAAGGCCCAGGGGGAGAGCCAGAGGGGGAAAAACGAAAATGTGATGCTAAGTTTCAATCGAATGAAACAAGAAACGTCTAATCGGCCTAATCTAATCAATTAAATTACAAGACGAATAGAAAATTATTATCCTCATCAGTACTCCCAATAATAAATGAAGTTAATAATAAGAAAACATTTTTTTTTGCTTGAATTGCATCAAATATTGGTTTTTCGGCTGTTCCATTTTGTCCCGCTCTCCTCTAAATATTCACTGGAGTCCGCTTCGTTAGCTTTGAATGGGTTCCATGGCTTCTGAAACGAGCTGTAATAAGCATATTTTCTGTTTTGTTTTGTTATTTGTTACAATATTACTGTGGAAAAATAAAGTTTATTGGCTTAAAGAGAATGATTCATAACATGTTGTCCTTATATTTCGCAGATTGGCCCAGGGCAGGTAGGTTACGTGTATCCAGGCACACCGAGCCACTTGCAAACGGTGAAACCAACAAAAGTAACCCCATCAAACAGCTCATCAGCCCCGTCCACCCCGCCGCCCCAGGCAAATCCAAGCTTCTTCGTCAGTGCTAATCTGCGTATGGACATACTCCACAAAAATACCCTGACACTTACGCAATCTGATCCGTCGCAATTCCCTGATTTACCAACTGAAGTTGATAATTATCACGAATTGTGCCCACTGGAGGCTATACACAAACCAGCATCGACTGTTCTTGGGTATCAGACGTCGACGTACAAAGCAACAAGTCTGAAAAATGGAGTTCGTTACTGTTTACGTCGAGTTCATGGTATTCTTTATAATCTATAATTTTTATATGATCCATACCGTCAGTAACGCAGTCATGGACTCCTTAAGAAACGGGAACCAGTTATGGAACCGTATTGGTTTCGATGACTTGGAATTTTTGGGGAGTGGATGTTTTTGGCTTCAGAAAAAATACAGTCTAGGGTACCAAGACCAATAGATAGACGGTTAAGGGGGAACAGAAGGCCACCGTTTCCTGGCATTTTTCAAACAAATTTCCGGCTTAAACTTATTAATTTTTTTGGCATCCAAAGCACATTGATCTTCACCACTCCTGGAGATTAATGTGCTTTGATTTGTAAAAATATCGATAACTTTCGCCAGGAAATTTGTTCAAAAATTGGGAAAATTAACGGCATTCTGTTACTCCTTAAGGGGAGACACTATGAGATTTAAAAGTCGAGGGCTATTGAAATGAGATTTCTCATACATGGAAGATCGATTATATATGCCTAAAGACGAATAATTAGTGCGAAAAAATTCATTGTTTATTGCTCGTTTACCCCGCAGACGCTTAAAATGTTGAAAATAGTCCAGGGCCTCCAATTTTTGAGCTACAGAGATGGTTTTTTCAAAATTTTTGAATAAACGTGTGCAATAGGAATTACAAATTAGTTTTTTGAAATTCAAGTTCTACATAACTAATTTCGTTATTTTTTCTACAAAAAATTGCACCATTCATATAAAATGACCCCAAAAATGTTTCTGAAAGAATGGAGAATATATTTGAAATATTTTAAGGATAATTTTACATGAATGGCGCAAATTTTTATATTAAGGCCCGGGTGGATTATCTTTCGAACGTGATCTTGGTTGGTTTTTTACATCGATAATCTGAAATGATCTCCAATTGCTATTCAGTTTTACGTAGCCCTGGAGTTTTCAAAAATTATGACTGTACAATCGAAAAAAAACGTTGAAAAAAAGCTAAACCTTTTTAAAGAGCGTTTTTGAATAATATTGGGAAATAAACCCAATAGGGAGGAAATTCCAAATTAATAATTTGATGTATTTAATGGCTGTCAGGTCGTCATTTGTCCCAGTAGTTAATGGCTGTCAGATCGTTAGTTATCATGATAAATTATCCATTCCCAATTTTCTCTCTATCGAACTTATTTCTTAAACTTGATCAAAAACGCTCTTTGAAAATGTGCGATTTTTTTGGTACTTTTTTTGATTGTACAATTATAATTTTTAGGAACTCCCGCGTGATGTAAAATTCAATGGAAGTTGTGATATATTTTAGATTATGAAGATGGAAAAAAAATCGAGATATCGTTCGAAAGATAATCCAGCCGGGCCTTAAAAAAATACTGTGTAAAATTCTTTGAATTGATTAATTATAAATTTTTGTGAATGAATTGAGATTTTTTGTTGTGATAGGAAGGAATTGTGAATCCCTCTGAGGTCACAATAAACAATTTTGGGAAACGATGTTTATCGGTCATAAAAAATTTCGTGGATGGATCAAAAATCTAAAAATTTGAGCCTGATTTATTTTCAAAATTCCCTTTTCATTTTTGACACACCGCTATGATACCTTGAATAATTAATTAATAAGAAATTTTCTTTTTCACAGACTTTCGACTGGGCAATACGAAGTGTATGGTACTTGTCGACATGTGGAAGCGCATATCGCATACAAATTTGGTCCAATTACTGGAGGTCTTCACGACCAAAGCCTTCGGTGATCATTGTGGGTACCCTAAGTATCTTACTCTATATAATTTGAGACATCAGTTTCTCCGGAAATTCATGGAAGGTTCTAAAGTGTTCAAGAAAGGTCCAGAATGGTACAGAATCTATGTGAAATTTTCGAATCGTCTGGAAAACTCTACAATTTTTCGATGCAGAATATTCCAGAAGATTGAAATGTTGTAGAAATCTTTACGAATTTCGCGATTAATTTAGAAGCTAAAGCTTTGGAAAGTCATGGAAGGCTCTAGAGAGTTATAAAAATAAAATTCCAAACCGATACTGCAGCTTTCCGTAATTAGGGAATTTTTACATTAATTTGCGTAATTTTATTGTAAAATTACCATAACAATTTATAAAAACTTCTCAAAATATTCTAGACTTCTAGCATTTATTGTCTAATTGTGGATTTTAACTTGGGGACAAAATATTTTTTGATAAACTTCCCTCTATAAACGATATTTTTACTCTGAAAAGGCACCGTCTTGTATGAATGATTCATCTCTTGAGTCAATTATTCCGTTGGTGAATGCAGAGCATTCATATTCGAGACTTTCAAATTCGAACCAAACAATTCAGTAGTGAAGTGTTAGAAGGAGATTTTGTTAATTTTGAGTATTGACCAGTTTTCAATCAATATCTCGGAATCTAAGGGAGATAGCGAAATTTTCGGAATTACATTTGTTGTAGCACTCAATCTGCTCCACAAAAAAAGGTAATAACAAAAATTTCGCTATCTCCCTTAGATTCCGAAATGTTGAATGAAAACTGGTCAATAGTCAAAATTGACTTTTCTCCTTTGACCACTACTGAATCATTTCTTTCGCTACCGAGTTATTTTTTTATAATGGGAGATGTTATTTCGACCGGTATATTCATATTCTGTATTATCCCCGGGCTATTTTACTCGGTCAAACATTAGATGTTTTTAAGGTACAAATTACATGGAAAGAAGGATGCTCACCTGAGCTCGAGTCTATGCCTCCGAATTTTTCAATTTGTACATTCTTAATTATTTAATTGTTTCCGTCGTACAGAGGTTCGGAAAGTCGAACGATAGCATATAGCATCCTGCTTTCCATATAATTTGTACCTTAAAAACATCTAAGGTTTGACCAAGTAAAATAGCCCGGGGATAATACAGAATTATTTTTTGTTAATTCTCAACTAACGATTTTTTTGGCCCAAACAAGACTTGTTTGAGAACGTGTTTGTTTTTCACACAATGCACTATTTACCCTAATCAGTAATTAAATCACCTTCATATTATCTACTCACTGATCATGCAAATTACAGCCATGGTATTCGTTTATGATTACCATCCTGGGGCTGAGACCCTCCTGAGCAAACACTTCTCAGCCTCTGAACTCAACGGGTACGCGGATCCCTTCATGTCTGATCCCAGTGCACCACGTCCATACAGTCACACTAAGAATACAATACTCAGACAACAGCATAATAGTATGTTACCAGAGAGTGTTATTTGGAGTTATATTATTCAACTTACTGCTGCATTACGAGTTATCCATGCTGGTGGTAAGTTTTCATCATCTGGTTGAATAAATATTAATTGAGGGAATGGTGAAGTAGTTGCTTGGATGAGTTCTTTATTATTTTTTTCGACGCTTGAAAATGGTTGCATGGAGGAACAAGAAGATCCAGTGATACAGCAGCACGAAGGGATAAATTCAGTAATTAAGGGGTAAAACGTGACAAGTCAGTTATGGTTTACATGTTACGGAACGTTGAATTATCTCGAGGATATCCAAGTACTTTGGCTATTTTTTCTCCAGTGAAATGCTTTTTCATTTTTGTAATCGAAAATCAAAGCTTTCATTTGACCCCCTTTGACCCCAAGTTTCAGAGAATTTTACAATGATTTTATTTGAAGTTTGCAGATCTGAATTTGAATCTCGATATTAAACTGTTGGAAAAAATTGTTTTAATCTGGAAACAAAAATTTGACCGTTAAGTTTTGGAGGAAGATTGACGGAACAATTTAAAATTGCATTTTTTTAAATTACGAGCTTTTTTCATAAATAATTAATATGTAACTCATTTTCCGCTGTAAAAATCATTGGTTCGGAATCGTAACAAATTTATTCATATTCAAAATTTCAACGGAAATTCGTTTCATCCCTAAAAAAATTAGGTTTCCGAAAGGTTAAACAACGAATGGTAAAAAAAAATTCTGTGTAAAATGTAGTAATAATAATTTGAATAACGTTGAATATTCATGATTTTTTTCAGTTTTTCCTCACGCAATTTGATTGATAAATTTGAATTAAATTACGTTTATCGTCGAAAATCAGAGCTTTCATTTGAGCCCCATTTGGCCCTACGTTTCCGGACTTTTTACAATAATTTTATTATTTCAACTTCGTAAAATCTGAAAAAAAATTAAAAAGCCTACTTTTGGAGAAAGATTGATGAAATAATTAAAAAATTGCAATTTTTGAAAATTACGAGCATTTTCTATAAATAATTTATGAATAATCCATTTTCCATCGTGAAAATCATTTGTTCGGAATAGTAACAAATTTATTCATATTTAGAATTTTACCAGATATCGATTTCATGTCTAAAAAAATAAGGTTTTCAAAAGTTAAAACAATTTCAATTACTTATTTATAAACGACTAATATAAAAAAAAATAATAATTTTGTGCAAAATGGAATTTTAATAACGTTAAATATTCATGATTTTATTCAAATTTTTCTCATGCAATTTAATTGGCAAATTTGATGATGGAAAATGGTTGAATCTATAGTGTGGTCTGTACCAAACTGTAAAAGATATCCTTAATAGTGCGTGGTTTTACGTTTGATAATATTCAAGCACCTTTTACAGTTTGGTACAAACCCCACTACATTGTCTAATTTCATTGCGTGCGAAATATTCTGAAAATTTAATGGATATTCAACGTCATTTAAATTACCTTTCACAACAAATTATTTTTTCTTTGAACATTCTTCTCTGAAGAATTAATCATTAAAATCGCTTAAACTTTCTGAAACCTTATTTTTAGGCACAAAATCGACTTGTGGTGAAAATTGTTTTTTCATTAATGATTTATGGGAAATACAGAAATCCTTAAAAAACACAACTCTTCAGTCATTTTAACAATCTTTCTAAAAGTAAACTTTCAGATTTTTTCAGACGTTGAAATGGCCTTTATTATGCCGTTGTTGTTCAACCGCTTCAATTATGATAATAAAAACGCCTTCCTGGACAAAGATTTCCCTGAAGAGGAGCGCACTTAGCACTCAAAACGTCGGCAATAAATAACAAATTAGAGACAAAGTTTCTTTGAAATGACTTTTAAACCTTTGAAAGGACGTGACGCAACAAATTGTCAAAGCACGTGTATTTCCTGAATTTTATTTTACTTCTATCTTTTATTTACTTTTCTTTCCTCATTTTTCACCTGAAAAAATAGTAGACCCATTCATAATGATGGAAAAGAAAAAAAAACAAAATGGTGTAGATTGAATTCCCAGACGATCCCAATATTTCTATCGAGGCATGTAAATTTAATGATCCAAGAACGCTAGGAAAATGCTAGGAAAATGAAAAACCATAATGAAATTGTTCAAAGGTTGGAGGTTTCTTTATCTTTTTATTTTTATTATAAAAAATAACTGCGTAAATAAAAAATATCGATGAATATTTGCAGGTGTGGCGTACCGCTGCTTAGATCCAACGAAGGTCCTCTTAACATCACGGAGTCGTTTACGTCTTAGTTGCGCGGCTGTACCTGACGTTGTGACATTCGATGGAAATGCAGCTAATCCATTGTCACTTATTCTACATTATCAGCAAGAGGATTTAATTGCCCTCGGTAAATTGGTACTAGCACTGGCCTGTCGCAGTCTACTTGCCGTCCATCGCGACAACATACAAGCATCGTTAGAACTCGTCGCACGTACCTACTCAACTGATCTCCGTAACTTTATTCTGTTCGTATTTTCATTCATTTTAACAATTTTATCATAATTTTTTATTGCTTAATTTTTTTTAAAGATCATGCAATATTATTTGAATTTAAAACAAAACGTTTTTAGCAAAGCAAGTTTGAGGTTTTTCTTGGCTTCTTTCTGAAACAACTGCATTTTGCCGTGAGAATTCCAGTTAAGAATATCCGAGCGCGTTGGCTATTTTTTCTCCAGTGAAATGATTTTCTATTTTTGTAGTCGAATATCAGAGGTTTCATTTGACCCCCATTTGACCCTAAGTTTCCGGACATTTAACATTTAAAAAATCTGAACAAAAATGAATGAAATGAATGAATGATGAAATTATTAAAAAATTGCAATTTTTGAAAATTACAAGTATTTTTTATAAATAATTCATAAACAATCAATTTTCCACCATAAAAATCATTCGTTCCGAATTTTAATAAATTTATTGATATTCAGAATTTTACTAGAAATCGAATTCATTGCTAAAGAAATAAGGTTTCCGAAAGTTTAAACAATGTCGATGTTTCAAATTCATTCAATTATGCATTAAAAAAGTTTTACTAATACCATTTTATCGAAGTTTCAAGATAATATAGATCATCATTCGTTCATTTGATTTATACAAGAATTTACACAAGAAATTTTTTCATTTTATTTGTATTTTCATTGGTATAACAGTCAAACATCCGAGGCCAGTTACATGACCTAAGTAGTAGATGAATAAACTTAAATGTTATACAGATAGTTTTATCTAAAGGTAGATAGTAACGCGTAAAGGTAGATAGTAACAAAATATAACATATTTCATTGAAGAAGAAATATTATTAAATTCAACAAAATCATATAAAGCGATAAATTATATATGATAGATGAAAATTATGTGTAAAATGACGAATTTATTAGAAAAAATAACCATGTTATATAAAAACAAAAGAAATTTCCCACTTTTTTTTAGAAATTCTGTATTTTTGCCACCCTACCATAATGCCCTAAAAATGAAAAATTTGTTTATTTTCTTTTACACCTTCCATCAAATGAGATTACGAATATGATTTTATTGACTGTTTTAGGTACTTGCTCTCTGACCAAGCAAGAAAAAGCGTGACAGACCTGATGCCAATGATTGGTGCACGTTTTTACACGCAACTCGATGCTGTGCAATTAAGATCTGATGTTCTCGAAAACGAACTTTCGAAGGAGCTTGAGAACGGTAGACTCCTCAGGTTACTCGTTAAACTTGCAACAGTGAACGAGAGACCTGAGCACAATATGGACGTCACCTGGGCTGAAACTGGTGATCGGTATATGCTCAAACTATTTAGGGATTACGTTTTTCATCAGGTCACTGCTGATGATAAGCCATGGCTGGACATGGCTCATGTTGTATCGTGTCTCAATAAGCTTGACTGTGGTTCACCCGATAAGGTCAGTATATTTTATTTATTTATTTCATGCAACTGATCGATGAAATGGTGAAACTTACGTGTTGAAATTTACACTTTTCTTTAAGGGGAAACGGAACCCCTTTGTCTGTATGAACTTTTAGAATTGTCTTTTCTCCTTCGATTATCAATTTTTATCTATGAAACTACTTTATCGACTCGATCATTGCATTGTTGAGTCATTGAACTAGTTTCATAAATGTAAAATAATAATTGCAGGAGAAAGCACAATTCTAAAAATTCAAATAGACACAGGGATTGCGTTTCACCTTAAGGTGCACGTGTATTAACTTTTGAACGTGATTTCGAGTGTTTTTTTTCTATTTTGATAATCTGGAATGTTCTCCAGTTGCCATTTAGTTTCACATAGCCCTGGAGTATTCAAAAAATTATGATTGTACAATCAAAACAATATTGCAAAAAAAACTGAACATTTTCAAAGATAGTTTTTGAATAATATTGGGGAAACTAGGGGGCTACGCCCCCTGTTTGCTTCGCTCGCCAACCCCCTTATGACCCTCATATGATCCCCATATGAACCCCATGACCCTTATTTTGCCCCTTAATCTGATGCTTGTAACGCTTATTTGCACTTTTAATCTGACCCTTGTGACACGTAATCTGACCCTCATGACCCTTGTTACCTATATTCAGATCCTCATGATCCTTATTTTGACCCCCCTGAATACATTAAAGACATTAGAGAAGAGAATTTATATAGCGTTCCACATCTTTGGGACGTCATAGGAAATTTGATATTTGATATTTCTATATTAGAGACCCAACAGCCTAGGCCAGTTACAGGGTCAAATCATTTTACAAATATTACTTATTTAAATCAAATATACATATGTACATGCATCATACCAATGCTAGATAACACAAGCTGGCGGGTGGTGACTCTTGCACTATTCCTGATATAGATAACTAAAATAAAGGAAATGATTGGGTGGGATTTGGATGAGGTAGAAGGGGAACTGGAATTATTCTCAATATGAATAATCAGAAAATTTTTACTGAAAAAAAATGGATAGTCTAGACCGAGATTTGAAGCCGGGACCTTATTCTAACCCGAGGGACCCTTTTTGACCCTCCTGACCCTTATTCTGACCCTCATTTTGGCCCTTGTGACCTTGTCATCAAAATCTCTATCTCTATTAATCTCAGGTACCAGTCTGTTATGTTGAATACTTATTCATATTGATTCATGGTCCCGAATAACTTCTGATGGAACCTGAGTTAAACTCTGGCGAAATCTGAAATAAACCCTGTTTAAATCCCGGTTATACGCTGATTCAACCTTAATTGAAACTTGATTAACCCCGAACTGAAAACGAATTCGAGTTTTGAGAAGGTTTGCATATAGAATTATTCAACAGAACGGAACAATACGTGTATTTTGATGACATTTCAATTGACGATAATAACATGACATGAAAAAATAGGACAAGAGAATAGTGAAATAAGAATTTAAAAAAGAACACCATTCGGAAGCAAATTGTTAATTTATTAGTAACAATTACTACACTGGTTTATAAAAAAATGCAATCGTCCACTTGTTTTCATTGTACAATCACAATTTTCAGGGACTAGAACTAAATCCTCAATTACAATAAAATGATCTATTTACTGCAATTAAGGCTCGGGTTTACTATCTTTCGAATGTTATCTGGATTTTTTTTATCTTTCGTAATCCAGAATTGTCAATTAAGTGGTACATCATGTAGAAATTCCCTAAAATTATGATAGAATGATAAAAAAAGTAGAAAAAATTCTGAAATTTTTCAAAGAGCATTTTTAATTGGAATTAGAATGAGTTGAAAAAAGCGGAAATTACAAATATCTGATTCGCTGTGGCAAATTATCCATTAGCTGTCATTTACCATGGTGGATAGCAAAACACTAACTCCTCATGGGAAGTGACAGCTAGGTATTTCAATTTTCAAAACAGTGGTATGTAGTTATCTGCCATTTTTATGTGATAAAAGTGTGATTAAAAAATTCTCCAAAATATTACAACTTTTTTCACTTAATTGACAATTTCAGATGACGAAAGATGAAAAAAAAACATCGAGATAACGTTCGAAAGATAGTACACCCGGGCCTTAAAGTATTATTCCATATCAATAAATTCAATTTCTTCACATGTCAAAATAATGATTCCACTTCTAACTAATGAAGTTTGTATTGGGATCAAAGAAACATTCGTTGATATTGAAAAAGAAAAAAGAACTATTCTTTAGATGTGAATGAAATATCAAAAGATGTTTTCTGTAGTTACAAAAATTTTCACCAAATTAATGTCTGTTTCACCACTTCAAATTGAAATCCATACGTTCCTCTCTATTTCATCTTCTTTCCCATGATTTTTTTATGCTTTCTGCCTAGATTTGTCTTATGTCAAGGGACGAGCAAAGTGTATTAGTGGTGAGTTACGCGGAATTGAGACAATGTATGGAGAATTCCTTCGGTGAGCTCGTGCAATCATCGAAGGAGGCCGCTTAAATGAATTAAATTTAAAAGAAAGAAATCATCACAAATCACCACAGGAAAAAAAACTAAGCGGGTTGAAATGTAATTCAACAATGTGATATGAACATTTAGCGGTACTATTTCATTAAAAGTTTATCAGTCTACGAGTCTTGAAGGTGCAAATTAACACGAATTCCAATAACTCATGAAGGTGATTGAACCTTCGTTTCCTCGTGTCAAGTGATTTTTGCCAAGGAGTCTGAACATTTCTCATTATTATTTTTTTTCATTGTGTATAATAATTGTACCATGGCGCGTAATTATTATGATTAAAAATCATGTTGAGTCATTCAATTTTTAAGGTAAACCTTTAATGTGAAATTAATTGTTGTACATGACGCGCTGATGAACTAAAATTCAGAAAAAAATGGGAAACCATTTTTGGGAAACCTACACAGTCAGTGTTAGGATTAAGGAATAAGTACGATGAATACACACAACTGAAAACTGAAATCAGCTCGTAAGACATTCATTTTGAAATAAATGTTTATTTTTGAAGGCAAATGGTTATCTTGACTTGTTATTTATTATCATGAATGTATTTCACGATATCCCATGATATCTTTTTATGACCCTTGTGACCTTCTTAAAGTTGATGATCTTTGAATATGTGATATACAGACGGAAGAGTGTCCCACGTAAGTTTTTCCCTTTTTAGTTGGCTTTTAAGTATGCATAAAAAAATAAGATTGGAAAACCTGTTTTTGAAACATTAAAATTCAGGACATCAATATAATGATCTGAGAATTTGCAGAGACCTGTTTTTTTAGGTGATGAATATGTGAAAAAATTTGCGCATTGAAATTCGCCGGGGGCAGATTCACCGTGTTTATCCGCCTAGACCCTTTGTCAATGAAATTGCGTAGGAAAATTTAAAAAAAAATCATGAGTATTCAGCGTCATTCAAATTATTTATATTAAATTCCTTGTTTATAAATAAACTAGGGGACTACGTCCCCTGCTCGCTTAATCTGACCCTTGAAAGCCTTCATTTCTGAGCCTTAATTTTGGAGTTTTCATTTCGAATACCAAATTTTTATCACCAGAAGTCGATTTGGATTTTTATAATATAGAAAGATTTTGACCCTTGTGACCCTTATTCTCACGCTTGTGACCCTCGTAATCCCTATTTTGCCCCTCATGACCCGTAATCTGACCCTCGTGACCCTTAATCTGACCTTCATCACCCATACTCTGACCCTTATGGCCCTTAATCTGACCATTGTGACCCTTATTCTGTCCCTCACGATCTTTATTCTAAACTTCATAACCCTTATTTTGACCCTTGTGACCCTTATTCTGATCCTTATAACCCTTATTTTGACCCTCATAACCCTTATTTGGACCCTTGTGACCCTTAATTTTGAAGTCTTAATTTCGAGTACCAAATTTTCATCACCAGAAGTCGATTTGGATTTTTATAATATAGAGAGAAGAGATAATTGCAATTGTTTAAACTTTCGAAACCCTTATTTTTTAGTCATGAAATCGATTTCTGATAAAATTCCGAATATAAAAAAAATTGTTGCGATTCCGAAAAAATGATTTTTATGATGGAAAATTGATTGTTTTAAAATTATTCATAAAAATGTTCCTAATTTTCAAAAATTGTAATTTTTTAATTATTTCATCAATCTTTCTCCAAAAGTAAACTTTTTATTTTTTCTTTATATTTTTAAAATGTTTTCTAACGGTTCAATATCGAGTTTTAAATTTAGACCTGCAAAGTTTAAATAATAAAAGCGTTGTTAAATGAAACTTGGGGTCAAATGGGGCTTAAATGAAAGCCCTGATGTTCGGCTACAAAAGTAGAATAGCATTCCACTAGAGAAGAAATAACCGAAGTACTTGGATATCCTTAAGAAGTTTCCATAAAAAAGTCGAAGTAATCCATGATGACTATCTCCCACGATATTGCTTGTCACTAACTCACGTCTTTCTTCTCAATATTCTCCTTCAAAATCGGTAATCGATAATTCATTATTATGTTTAAAAAACCCGTATTACTACAAAACGAGAATATAAAGGACTCGTTCAGTGAGAAACGGTTCATCACCCTAAAAAATTTCCACACAAATCGAAATTTTAGGTGTATCTAGATTCCCTCATTAGCCATAACATGCTCATTCTCAGTCATTACTCGTGAACGAAAAAAGTCGAAATGATAGGGAGTACTAATGTACTTCCTAGAAAGAAAAAAAAACCCTGTCCCTGTCGCGCAATCACTCAAACATGATCTCATTTCCTAAAGAGAATGGAAAGAATGGCGAAAGAATTGAAAGTAATAGGATATTCTTAAGGATATTGAAAGTATCTTTTACAGTCTTACAGAATTCAAACATTTTCAATCATCAAATTTGTCAATTAAATTGCGTGAGGAAAATTTGAAAAGAAATCATGAGTATTCAGCGTCATTTAAATTGCATTTTGCACAGAATTATTGTTTTTCTAAACATTGGTTGCTTCTACATAAATAATTGAAATCGCTTAAGCTTTCGGAAACCTTATTTTGTCAGGCATTTTTATGGAGGAAAATTGATTGTTTATAAATTATTTATAAAAAATGCTCGTAACTTTCAAGAACCGCAATTTGTTAATTATTTCATCAATCTTTCTCCAAAAGTAAGTTTTCTATTTTTTTCAGACTTTTAAAATGTTTCCTAACGGTTCAATCTCGAGATTCAAATTGAAACCTACAAAGTGTAAATAATAAAATCTTTGTAAAATGTCCGGAAACTTGGGGTCAAATGGGGCTTAAATGAAAGCTCTGATGTTGGACTATAAAAGTAGAAAAGCATTTCACTAGAGAAGAAATAACCGAAGTACTTGGATATCCTTAAGAAGTTTCCATAAAAAGTCGAAGTAATCCGTGATGACTATCTCCCACGATATTATTCGTCACTAACTCACGTCTTTCTTCTCAATATTTTCCTTCAAAATCGATAATCGATAATTCATTATTTAGAAAAAAAACCGTATTACGATAAAACGAGAGTATAAAGGAATTGTTCAGTGAGGAACGGTTCATCACCCCAAAAAATTTCTACACAAATCGAAATTTTAGGTCTATCTAGATTCCCTCATTGGTCGTAACATGCCCATTCTCAGTCACTATTCGTGAACGAAAAAAGTCGAAATGATAGGGAGTACATTTAGAAATTGTCCCTGTCCCGCAATCACTCAAACATGATCTCATTTCCTTCGGCAATTGTGTGACGCACAAGCCAATCTGTGATTTGTTCGCTTCACCCACACTCAGCCGAAAAAAAAATGAGAAAAAAAAAACAACTAAATATTCAACAGTGTAAAAAAAGAGGGGGAGTCAAAGCGGGAAAGCAACTGAAGAGATGTCAGCGTAATGTAGTCGACAATCATCTCATTTAATTGTGTTAATGCCCAGCAATTTCCTTCCTGTCTCGCTCCTCACCTCCAAGGGTATTTGTACAGTCATTTTTAAGAATCTATCCCCACTAACCCAGTGATTGTTGGAGTTCGAGGCCCCGGAAGAAACGTATTTTTCAAACTAAAAATCAAATTATTAAAAAATTCAGTTGTCGAGTGTAAGATAACTTGAGATAGGGCCAGAACGAACGGATGTGAAGATTATTTTGCAAATATCTGTGAAAATAGTGGGCTTACACTGAGAGAAAAACGACAAAGTTCTCAGACAAGTGTTACTTGTGCCAAGAAAATAGTTGTTTGAAAATGATCAAAAAAGGATTTTTTTTGTGCCAAACATGCAGAGAGTGCGCGGAATGAAAAATTTTTGTCGCAAAAATAGATTTAGTAGTTCAAAAAAAATGGCATTCTCTGTACACGCAAGAAATGTCATTTCTAGCACTACTCCTTCATTATTCGATACTCCCATACGATTTTGCTCCCGAAAAATCTTTGTTTTATATACGAAACAAGGCATAGTAGTTTTTCATTTCGGCTATCTAATAACCACAGACAAGAAATTAGCCCTTAAGGCCCGGGTGTACTATCTTTCGAACCTTATCTCGCTGTTTTTTTTTCATCTTTCGTCATCTGAAATTGTTAATCGAGTTCTGCATCATGCAGAAGTTTTGAAAAATTATGAATGAATAATCAAAAAATAGTAGAAAAAATTCTTAATTTTTTCAAAGAGCATTTTTAATTTGTATTCAGAACAAGTTGAATAACCAGAAATTGAAAAATGTATCTGATTTATGGTGACGAATGACGGCCTGTCACCCAATATCATGCAGGGGGAAGACTGATTTCGTAAATCTTTTCCCACACTGCAGAGACATTTATTACGGAAAAGGTTCTTTGAAAAAAGTTGTAATATTTTGGAGAATTTTTTAATCACACTTTTATTACATGACTAGGGGGCTTCGCCCCCTGCTCGCTTCGCTCGCCAACCCCGGGGGGCTTCGCCCCCCCGCTCGCTTCGCTCGCTCCCCCCCCAATCCAACTGTTAGAGATTAGGAAGTCAAGGAGAGCCTACAATTCTTTATTTCACAACAATAACAACATAACAATTCAATATTGATTCCTCATTGTTATGAGCGGAATTATATATGTCATTCCCCCCCACCACGTTTGACCCTGGGACACCCTCCTCCCTTCTAACCCCACCGACCTTGGGCACCCCCTGACCGCCCCCCCCCCATCTTTAGGCGTCGCCTGAATTTTTGCGTCGCCTGAATTGTCTTAAATTTTGCCCTTATTTTTTTATTATATAGAGAGAAAATGGCAGATGACTACATACCACTGTTTTGAAAATTGATATACCTAGCTGTCACTTCCCATGAGGAGTTAGTGTTTTGTTATCCACCATGGAAAATGACAGCAAATAAATAATTTGCCACGACGAATCAGCTATTTGTAATTTCCACTTTTTTCAACTCATTCTGAATCTCAATTAAAAACGCTCTTTGAAAAAGTTAACAATTTCAGGCGTGACCATCAATAGATTTTTTTGTAGTGAATTTTTTCATCCGAACCTCTTCAATTTGGCAATATTACCAAAATAGACTGTATGCATTTTGTGGATTTGCCTTCATCCATCAATTCATTACTCGAATATCTAATCCCGTGATGGCGTAGGCATTCCATGTCATTCTCCGCATCCTCGCATTTGCCATTTTCAGGGCTTGGGATGTTGAACGACCAATGATGCATCATTACTTCACGCGTACACAGCTGTCGGGGGCAAGGAAACGGGAGTAACGTTTAATAGAACGTTTTATTAGCGTGAATCATCTCTCCCCGTAATTTGGAATATTTCTGAATGTCGTGATATCTGGGAGATCATATGAATTAATTTATTGTCAGAGAAATGTAAGAATTCCGAGGAGTTTAAGGGCAAGAAGTGGTTTATTATTAATGCTCGTGTCATTTTATCGTATTGAGAAACATCCTCATTTTATTTCCTGTTGAACTTGTCAACTAGTTGAATATTATGAATTTCATCCGATTATGCATCGGGTGCTCACTAAAGTAAATAACAAAACTTTTTTTTTTTCAGAACCAAAAAT